AAGCACCTATAGTCAGTTTCTTATATAGTTTGTTTAATAGTTTATGTTCAAAAAGCTGTATCCTCTTTGAGTGATCCCTGTTGTGACACATAGAGCTAGTCGCCTGTATATATATATATATGGATCTTCGACTATATATAATGCCTTTGTGAATAAGGATAATACCGTTTTGCAATGTTTAAGTAGGGAGCATAGATCAAAAACGTGGTTGCATGCTCATATCTTTAAATTCACAATGACAACGACTACCGCCGCCTCCCATCAATAAAGCCAATTGTAGCATCACTTCAGATTGTCCTTGTTCGGTGTACAGGGCACCATCTTGTTAGTGTAAAAGAGAAGAAGATAACTTGACCTTTCAATGAAAGTACACGCACTAACAGGAGATGGTAATTTAGGTACCAAGCAATTCAACACAAATGTTTTCATGAAGTAGTATTATAAATGAGAAAGCTGGGCATTTTTCCTCCTATACCTACCCGACTAAAACAGTGACATAACTCCACCCCCTTGGATCCATATCCAACCTCTCTTCTACCGCTGCCCACGGTGCCTAAGCTTCCCTGGATACTTACCCACCCTCCCGTTTTTATGCATCGCTTTGCACGGCTCGCTTTTGGTGCTTTGCTAATAGCTTTGGTGCGGACGGACTCATCGCATAATAGTATTATCCCTATACAAATAAATAAATAAATGATAAATAATATTAAAGACCCGTTGAAAAAAAAAGTATGTCAACAACTCAAGAAGCCAAATGTTGTCAAAGATGCAAAAGGGAAAAACCACTCAGTGAATAAACTTAAAGGGTACTGACATTGCTAATGAGTTTAATACATTTTTTGCCAACATAGGAAGAAACTTAGCTGATGCTTTGACTTCACAGAGAGATGCTGATCACTTTGATACATGTTTATATATCTAACAGGGCACAAAACCACTTGAGAGGCTGTTTCAATTTGTGGGTGTTACGTCATGGGAGGTTTTTCGCCTGCTTTGCAAACTTGATGTCAACAAGGCTACTGGGCTTGACGGCATTAGCCCCCGACTACTGAAGGTGGGCCACAGACAGCTTGCGATACTGTAGAGGGGACTCTTTTCACTTA